GAGCATGTTCCTCATCAAATCTAGTTTGTCCATACCAAATTTCAGCTCATAATTCAATCGGAAAGGCATTCAAATCATTTTTTGAAGTTGACTGCGTCAAAATATACATATAAAAACGCAGTCAACTTCCAAAAATGATTTGAATGCCTTCCTGATCGAATTTTGAGCTAAAATTTGTTATGGACAAACTAGACTTGATGACGAACATGCTCAAAAAATTTCATCAAAACATTCCAACGGGAAGGACCCCAAACGAGGATGTTCGGACGGAGGGTCCTGTCCGAACGTGGGGACCTGATCATTCTTGTAGATATAGATATAGATATAGATATAGATATAGATATAGATATAGATATAGATATAGATATAGATATAGATATAGATATAGATATAGATATAGATATAGATATAGATATAGATATAGATATAGATATAGATATAGATATAGATATAGATATAGATATAGATATAGATATTGATGGACAGTGTACCCGGGGGGTAGCTTATCCGAGGGGTTATTATGAGAATAACCTAGAGAGAAGTCAGAGCAAACAAGTAGGAGAGAGAGGCGATTGTATTAATGAACTCGAGATATTTTGGTCCTTTACAATGGGAAAAGGGGATGCTATTTATAGCAGCAATAAATGCGATGGGAGTACACGTGTCAGTAATCTAACGGCCGAGGGGTCACCTCAATCGGGTGGCACTGACATTCGCATGTGCACCGCATTGAATGCGGTGGGTGGGTGGGATGCGGCATTAAATGTGGTGGTTGCTTGTCTCGGTGATTGAGTTGGTGAGCGAGAGGTCTGTGTACCCGAAGGCTTGGTTCAGTCGAAGGCTTCCCATTGCCGAAGGCGTGAAAATGCTGAAGGCTCCCGTTTTCCGCCATTTTCTCCCAGTAGCTTCGTATGCTCAAATCTGGCTGCCCTGTGTAATTTGGACCCCTCAGCCAAGGAGGCCGAAGGCACCCCTACGTGCATCGCGGGCTTTTTGACACTTGGACCGCTGCATTTGGGCCCTGGGCGCGTACTGGGCTCATTGGGCCTGTGCAGGAGAAGCAGGAGTCTGTGGGTCGGGGGTTCCCGGGCCATATACTCCATGAGATATAGATATAGATATAGATATAGATATAGATATAGATATAGATATAGATATAGATATAGATATAGATATAGATATAGATATAGATATAGATATAGATATAGATATAGATATAGATATAGATATAGATATAGATATAGATATAGATATAGATATAGATATAGATATAGATATAGATATAGATATAGATATAGATATAGATGGACAGTGTACCCGGGGGTAGCTTATCCAAGGGGTTATTATGAGAATAACCTAGAGAGAAGTCAGAGCAAACAAGTAGGAGAGAGAGGCGATTGTATTAATGAACTCGAGATGTTCTGGTCCTTTACAATGGGAAAAGTGGATGCTATTTATAGCAGCAATAAATGCGATGGGAGTACACGTGTCAGTAATCTAACGGCCGAGGGGTCACCTCAATCTGGTGGCACTGGCATTCGCATGTGCACCGCATTGAATGCGGTGGGTGGGTGGGATGCCGCATTAAATGCGGTGGTTGCTTGTCTCGATGATTGAGTTGGTGACCGAGAGCTCTCCCTGCTGCCGAGAGGTCTGTGTACCCGAAGGCTTGGTTCAGTCGAAGGTTTCCCATTGCCGAAGGCGTGAAAATGCTGAAGGCTCCCGTTTTCCGCCATTTTCTCCCAATAGCTTCGTATGCTCAAATCTGGCTGCCCTGTGTAATTTGGACCCCTCAGCCAAGGAGGCCGAAGGCACCCCTACGTGTATGCGGGCTTTTTGACACTTGGGCCGCTGCATTTGGGCCCTGGGCGCGTACTGGGCTCATTGGGCCTGTGCAGGAGAAGCAGGAGTCTGTGGGCCGGGGGTTCCCGGGCCATATACTCCATCAGATATAGATATAGATATAGATATAGATATAGATATAGATATAGATATAGATATAGATATAGATATAGATATAGATATAGATATAGATATAGATATAGATATAGATATAGATATAGATATAGATATAGATATAGATATAGATATAGATATAGATATAGATATAGATATAGATACAGATACAGGTACAGATACAGGTACAGATACAGATACAGATACAGATACAGATACGGATACAGATACAGATATAGATATAGATATAGATATAGATATAGATATAGATATAGATATAGATATAGATATAGATATAGATATAGATATAGATATAGATATAGATATAGATATAGATATAGATATAGATATAGATATAGATATAGATATAGATATAGATATAGATATAGATATAGATATAGATATAGATATAGATATAGGTATAGATATAGGTACAGATATAGATATAGATATAGATATAGATATAGATATAGATATAGATATAGACAGAAAATGCTCAGGTCCCTCCCTTCCCTGTCCAGTCGTCGTCTGGACTCTGCCATTTGGGGCGGTTTCCGATGGAATTTTTTGATGAAATTTTTTTAGCATGTTCTTCATCAAGTCTATGTCTATTAACATACCTCGTGTTTGTTAATAGCTTTGTGATGGTTTCCATTTTGAACTTGAGGACTGATTGGTAGAGTTCGGTCCATTATGGACTGGGTATGTTAGGTAAGCTTGGTCCGAAAGAGAACTTTGTGGTTCTCGTCTATTACTTGTATTATATGTATATTGTGCTTGTAAGTTGTAAATTTGTAATGATTCAGTGATGATGAGTCTCCTCACAACCTTGTACGTAGTATTTGTTATTATACACCACCTACGACCGATAAGGTGGAGAATGTTGGATGTATTGGTCTTGCCAAGACCTCCCATCCACTTATTTGTGTCAAGACATGCACCATATACATGTTTAGCCCCTCTCTTCTCTCATCCGTGTCTCTGCTCCTTGTCTAATTATTTTATAGATCAACAACATCCAAGCTTTAGTCCCAAATGATATTGCAGTCGACTAACATGAATCGATACATGATATCACCAAAAGGAAAAGAAAGAAAATAAAGATAAAAAAGATAAGCTATTATAAAAAAAAAGATAATATAAAAGAGATGAATATACATATAAAAGATAAAATAAAAAAGGATAAAGTAATATTTATATATAAGGATAAAAATATATAAAAGAAAAAGAAAAAAAAAGAGGGGAAAAGATGATACAAGATCATTCCTCCACACGAATACCTGCCCTCCATTTTGCTCTCTCCAAAGCCATACCTTCATCCAATCCAAGAAGAAGCATATCACTTTTGACTCCCCCAACCCACGTCTGTTTGGGCTTTCCTCTCCGTCTCTTCAATGCCTCTTCTCCACGCATCTCAACTCGTCTGACAGGTGCATCACTCGGTCTTCTATGCACATGACCAAACCATCGTAGGCGCGACTCCCGCGTCTTATCTTCAATAGGTGCTACTCCCACCCTTTGTCTGATTGTCTCATTCCTCACGCGGTCCTTTCTAGTATGCCCACACATCCAACGCAGCATGCGCATCTCTGATACACTCATCTTTTGAATGTGACATTGTTTCACCGCTCAACACTCTGTGTCATACAGTAATGCAGGCCTAATTGATGTCCTATAAAATTTACCCTTCAGTCTAGTCGGCATACCTCGATCGCATAGAAATCCTGATGCACTCTTCCACTTCATCCACTATGTTCTGATTCTATGGGATACATCTCCATCTAACTCACCGTCCTTCTGAATTATGGAGCCCAAGTAACGGAACATATCGCTGGCCGGTAGGTATCTCCTTACCATCTAAAGTAATTCCGCTATTACCACTGCTTCTACTTCCACCAAACTTGCACTCCATGTACTTTGTCTTGATCCTACTTAGTCTGAAACCCTTGTTCTCCAATATTTGTCGCCATATTTCCAACTTTGCTTTAAACCCTGATTGCGTCTCATTAATCAATACAATATCGTCGGCAAACATCATGCACCACGGTATATCGTCTTGAATTGACTTTGTAAGTTCATCCATGACTATGGCAAATAAAAAAGGGCTCAGAGCCGATCCTTGGTGCACTCTGATAGTAATAGGGAACTCCACAGTTCTCCCTACACTAGTACAGACAGTACTTGTAGTACAATCTTCATACATATCCATGATCATGCCCTCTAAATCAACAACTTGACTCCCGTTGTGTACAACTAAATGACTAATTACAGAAAGTTTAGAGTGGAAGTGGGAGATTTCAATAATGGCTCTCCTCTAAATGTACGGCTCATTCTATTTATAGCTATGCTATTAACAGCTAACAAAAAATGTAACTAACGGCCGGTGCTCTAACTACTGCTGATGTGGCACTTCAGTTCGTTACAGCATGCGAGTAGGGCTGGACTCGGGCCGGGGGGGGCGACCCGGAACCGACCCGGCCCGCCCACTGAGCAACCGGCCCGGCCCGGTGGCCCGGTCCACCAGCGGTTCGGGTCGAACCGGCCCGGTGGATACCGGTTCCGGGCCCGGGCCCTCCATTTGGTGAACCGGCCCGGCCGGTTCGGGCCCGGTACGGGCCGGAATTAAATTTTTTTTTTTGAAAATTTTTTAAGTTTTGGGTTGGATTAGGTATTTTGGGCCATTTGAGGTGGTTTGGGGTTGAGGGGGAGGGTTAGGGGTTAAATAAAAGAAGCCAAAAAAAAAAATTAAATACCCGGGTGAACCGGCCCGGCCCGGAACCGGACCCGGAACCGCCCACCCCCGGTTCGGGCTCGGGCCTCATATTTCTGAACCGAGGCCCGGACGGGCCCAGGCCTGAGGCCCGAACCAGCCCGAACCGGCCCGGTTCAGTCCAGCCCTACATGCGAGCTTGCAAGAACGATTTGTGGGATTAAAGTCACTATTTATACGTTACAAACACAAAGGTGGAAGTAAATACTTTTAGATGTGGAAAAGGAATAGCTAACATACAAAAAAATACATTAACACTAACACTCTTGTTTATGTTATTTTGCACTTGACCTTGTTTTGCTTTAATCTGCTACAAATTACAATTGCTTCATGTTAAATAATACAATTTCATTTCTGCATTAAAATGGCATATTGCTGTATTAATTAAGAGATGGACACATCAAAAAATGAAGTGAAAAAAGTGCATACATCTATACAATTGCACACATGGACACACATAGAGATCATTCTCTGAAGTAATTCTATTCAATCTATTGGATACGTCACAGTACATACAGACCTCTTCCCGATATACATAAAAAAATATGTGATCCACACAGCTCATATGGGGTGAGGTAAAAGGAGATGCCTTTTGAGTTTTGTGTATGTGTACACACACCAGAGGACCAGTAAACGCAATGGCAGGAAACAGAAAAGCAAACCCCACCATTTGGACCAGCCTGTGTATGCAACAACAGTGTATCTTTTGCTCATATTCAGGTTCATAAAAAAATATAAACAGAAAATGGGGGGGGGGATAAGTCTTATTGGTGGACAATTCATTTCAGATCTTCCTCCCACTCTTTTACATCCTCCCCCATCTCCCAAGCTTTTCATTTTTAAGTGTTAGTTACTCTGCTATGCATTGTTGAGACTGAAACTTTCCTTCAGTAAGAAGACTGATGAAATGCTCTTCAAGCCGTTTTGCTCCAATGCCTGGTCTTAGAATATCAGCATCTCCCCAAACAGCACACTTGTCGGCTTCACTGTTTCCCAAACACCACCCGCCTGGAACTGGTTTTGCAGGACTACGATGGAGAACTTGAGCATCAATCTGGTCAAGAATTGGATCATTTGCCTGAAATGGTGAGGCAAATGCTGCACCACTTCTTATCATGCTTATGAAGTCACTGGAGTTGAGCAGGCGGGCCTCCTTTCTGGAATTTAGTGAAACATACTGCAGGTTGTGATTGATGATGGTTCTATTGAATAGCCTTGAATTGCACAATATGGTGGGAAAGTAGACGGAATGTGAAGATAGTGTATTCGACAAGTACATTAAAAGTGTTCTTGGAAAGTTTTCTGTGCCTAAGATGCAGTGATCAATGAACTTTCTGGTCAAGATGGATGACAATGATCCTGTAGCCACAGAGCAACTCAACAGTTGTTTCCAGAAGTACTCTCATATTTGAAACTGTTGATAAATAATAAAATAGGACATAGGGGAAACAATAAAATTGATGAATCTATGACGGCATGATCTGAATAGACAACAAGCTGCCAAATATATAGTATCTGCATATGATGAATGCACCCATGATCTTATTGTACACGACAAGCTTCCAGGTCTATAACATCTACACATTAAATGCTGAGACCAAGACTAACAAAGATGAGAATGATTGTCTTCCTCACAAGTCACAAGTGTGTTCTACACATACTTGTCACGGCGCTAAGGCGAGTCGCGGCGCCAGCCGACCGCCATATCACCTAGGCGACAAGGCGCCCGCCTAGGCGACAATTAGGCGACTTGTCGCACAATATATATAATTATAATTTATATATAATATAACATTCTATTTAACTATACTTAATTTGTAATTTAATTATTTATTATATAAGATATATTATGAATGCAATTGTATATTGGCATATTGCCAAATAATTTATTAATATATTAATATACCTAATTGATTAATATACAAGTTATTTATTTCAATATTGATATACCTAATTTATTAATTTATTATATATCTAATTTATTAATATAAAAGATATGCATTGCTAGTATATATTGTAGTGTGTATCTATACATACTGTATACTGTGTACGAAATATACATATATTATATTAAAATTAAACTATGTAAAATTGTACTCCGTAGTGGGTATACTGCTTAGTGGGTACGCAGTATTAATATTAATACTTAATATTAATATATATAGTGGAATAAGAAGTCTGATAAAGACTAAAGTGATGAAGATGAATGACCGATAAAAATAAAAGGCTGGGAAGGGCACACGTCGTCTTCAACCTTGTGATGCAGGAGTGCCAGGAACGCATCAACTACAGATCTCCTACTCGTCTTCAACCTTGCGACAGAGGCACAAATAATCAGAGAAGTTACGACTAGCGATGCTTTTCCTTTAGGAGTCGTCGATTAAGCTTCGAGTTTGAGAGTCGATGATTGTTCTTTTGGGTTGGGCTTCAAAAAACGAATTTATTGAGATTTCAAATCTCCCCTGGCTTCACACCAAGACTGCACCTGGATGACATATTCACGCCTAGGTGACGCCGGAGGCGACTAGTCTTCTTCCGGCGAGTCGATCTCCCCTGGCGCCCCTTCTCCATCGCCAGGACGCCTAGTCGACGCCGTGACAACCATGGTTCTACAAGCATAATAGCACAATTATTTCTTAAACTGAATGTAGCTGGTCATGGGACCTCTAAGGACATGGTGTTAGGGTGGGACAGTTACAGTTCCGGTCAATTCTTCCTCCACCACCATCACCTTCCTGTGCCCCTCCCCCAGAAATGTTTCCCAAGACTAAACTACAAACAGTAGTAAACCATACACTAGTCCAGTTCCAGTCCCGGTTTCAAACACTTTTTCACGCTAAAAAAAATCCAAGAACTGCTGGTAATGGCAGTTCAACCAAAACAGGACCATACTCCTACCCCATGGTTCCAGAAACAGGAGACGGGTGATAGGATCAGAGGCTGAGGAGAATAATAATAAATAATTTTGAAAGTGTATTAGAGGGTCCTGGGCCTGGTATTAGTTAGCTTTGGCTGGTCCATAAGGAAAAGATTATAAATAGGAGTGGGAGTAGAATAAAGGGGCAGGCAGAAATTCGTTTGGGACTTGGGAGTGCTGAGACTACTTGAAGTGTCTCAATTCTATCGTAATATGTAGCTTCTCTTTTCCGTTCAGTACTATCGTATCAATTCTACGTCTATTTTCATCTCTTCGACTCGGGTTCCTAACAACAGGCAGGAACCGGACTGTGTCTGCGTAACATAAAAATTCAGATATGAACTTTTATCATGGAACTTGATGATTGTTTAGTGCAGCACAGTTATCACATAGTAATAATAGATGTAATAATAATAATAAGTAATAAAGGTCTGGGGAGGACTCTAGTATAAATAGATTGGAAGGGGGAGTTAGCAGTAGGCTTTTGGAGTGTTTAGTCTTGGGACTGGGAAGATCGAGTGTTAGCTCTTTCTTTGGGGGGCGTCGGCTCAGTTGGGGCTTCGGCCTTTGTTCTTGTTACTGTACTGTTCATCTTCGTTAATAAGAGATTCCATTTGCCTTCTTGATATTGTATTCTGTAATTGTTCTCGATTTCTTGGGGGCTCTATCATTGGTATCAGAGAAGGTGATCGCTGGATGAGACATACTCGATCGAAGATGGAAGGGGGTATGAATGACGTCGAAAGGAGTTTGACTGAAATTGGAAGAAATATGGAGGAATTTGACAGAAATCAGCGTGAGATGCAGATGAATATGGAAAGGAACCTGGCAACGAGTATGGCGGCGATGCAAGCTAGTTTCGCCGACTTGCAGAAGAAAAATTCCGATCAATCGAGGAGTCAATCGCAGCATTCTAATTCATCACATCGATCATCGCGACACCAACATACAAAGAAAAGCGACAGTTCAGAAGGTTCGGATCACAACTCAGATCATTCTACATCCTATAATCATCGCAAGTTCCTCAGTAATCATCGCCATCAGTATCCGGCTGGGAGAAAAATCGATTTACCAATCTTTAATGGTAAAGATGTCTTCGGTTGGTTAGTCAGGATGAACCGATACTTCCGATTGAATAAAACGGAAGAAGAGGACAAAATTGACACTGCAGTTGTCGCCATGGAAGACCAGGCTCTGAGCTGGTTTCAATGGTGGGAAGGACAAGCACATCGTCAGACTTGGGAGTCGTTTACAAAGGCTCTGACCAGACGCTTTCAACCAGATATGGTGCAAGATCCTCTAGGACCATTGTTCAGTTTGAAGCAAAAAGGGACGGTGGAGGATTACAGAGATAAATTTGAAGTTGCCATAGCTTCGCAGGGGCATCTGACTGAGGAGGTACTTAGAGGAGTGTTCGTCAAGGGGTTGAAACGCGATATAAGGGCTGAATTGAAGCTATATTCAACCAGAACCCTAGCTTCAATTATGGATACAGCATCATTGATTGAAAACAAGAACAATGAAACAAATATCATGAAGAGTAAAGATGATGGAAAGAAGATCTTGAAAACAAATTCATCAGGTGGACAGAGCTATCATAAATGGGGAGATGGTAGTCAAAGTAGTTATAATCTGGCATCTACAAATCAATTGATGAAGAACTCAGATGGTAGCAAGAAGCTGGAAGAAGGATCAAGTTCTGTTTCTAAGAAGACAAGTCCCAGATTATCACAGAATGAGCTGCAAGAAAGAAGTAAGAAAGGGTTATGTTTTAAATGTGGTGAAAACTGGAATCGGGGTCACATCTGTAGTATGAAAAATTTTAAAATGATGCTGGTAGAACTATCTGAAGGGGAGGAAGCTGATGTTGACTACAGTAAGGATAAAGTAGAAGAAGGAATACATATGGAAGCTAAAACTATGCAATTATCTGTATTGGACAAAGAAGGAACACCACCCATGAGAACATTCACTGTCCTGGGAAATCTGAAATGGATGACTGAGGAAAAGAAGGTGAATATCTTGATTGATTGTGGAGCTACTCACAATTTCATTTCACAGAAGATTGTTGATGAATGGAAGATACCTTTTAATTGCATTAAAAGGAATAAAGTGCAGATAGGGAATGGGGAATTTCTTCCCAACTATGGTAGGTGTGATGGGTTGACAGTGGATGTACAAGGAAATGAAATTCTGCAGAAATTTTACATGCTGCAAATGGGTGGAGTTGATGTCCTGCTGGGAATGGAATGGTTAGCTGGCTTAGGAGATATGGCAGTTAACTTTCAGAATCAGACCATCCAATGGGAGGTGCATGGGCAGAAGGTACATATACAAGGAGATTCTTTATTAAGGCAACTGGGAGCTTACAAGGAAATGAAGAGCCTGATAAATAAGAAGGGAGAAGGAAAATGGCTGAATTATCAGTGGTTATCAAAGGATATGGAAGGAGAAGGTGTACAGAAGCATGAAGTTGCTGACCCCTATGTTGCAGCAGGCTGCACCTTGGTCTCATCAGAATCTGCAGGAATCAAAGTTTTGGATAAAATGTTATGGCATCTGAGTAACTCTGCTGCGAAATACATATGGCAGAAGATAGAAGTAGCAAAGCTAATGATCCAGCAGTCAATCAAGTATTGGAAAGGGAGGGGAGCTAGGATGAAGGCAAAGAAGGAAGTCTTGGCCGTTTCCTATCACCCACCTTGAGGACAAGGTGGATGTTTAGGGAGGGAGTATTGATAGGAACCCACTTATTAGACTAATAATAGATGTAATAATAATAATAATAATAATAATAAGTAATAAAGGTCTGGGGAGGATTCTAGTATAAATAGATTGGAAGGGGGCTCTTTCTTTGGCGGGCTTCGGCTCAATTGGGGCTTCGGCCTTTGTTCTTGTTACTGTACTGTTCATCTTTGTTAATAAGAGATTCCATTTGCCTTCTTGATATTGTATTCTGTAATTGTTCTGGATTTCTTGGGGGCTCTATCATTGATTATTATTACATCTATTATTAGTCTAATAAGTGGGTTCCTATCAGTATACCTCAAGTAAAATATTTAAGTGCATCATGTCATATGTAACTGAAGCATATCACCACTGGATCCAGCAATAATAGGTTGTTTTCGACAACTTATTTTTACTTTTTAATGAGATGAAATTATCACCTACAAAAACACAATATCCAGAAATAGAGTGTTTGTCTATTAGGGTCCCAATTTAGCATCCGAATATTCTACCACTTGAGTGTTGCCTCTCTCTTTGTAAAAATCCTTTGTACTGAATGAAAATTTTTCATCTTTCTCCTAATTTTTCCCCCTTCTAATACAGCATACGATCTCCACCTTTGACACTGGATGCATGCCAGGACCTAGAAGGCCACACCAGCTCTAATGCAGGGGAGAAGAAATTTCAAAAGCAAAAAATATTACAAAAATAAATTATCGAGGAAGCTGATGAACAAACCTACCATGGACAGTGTCTGATAGAGTGATAGACTCCCAAACATAGAAGATTGACGATGATCTCAGAATTACAGTAGAGAACATAGAAGGAAAGAGAAAGATACAGTGAGACACTAAGAGCAGTCCCCTATCCAAAGTCTATCCCAATTTCTGCCCAACTCTTATTCCTTACTTAGCTTCTATTTGTACTACTCTTATTATTATTATTATTATTATTATTATTATTATTATTATTAGTATTAGTATTATTATTATTAACACTAGTCTGCCAGGGCCTCTATTATCTTATGATTAAAAGCTTTATTCTGCCGGGTTCCTATCATCACTCCCCCTTTGGACAAACACTGTGCCCTCAAGGTGGGAGGTAGGAGACAGTCCTTGCAACCAGCTTCATCCTTGCGTCTCTGGGAAGTGTGAGGTGTACGCATATCTTACCTCTGCCCCTAGGAATGGAAGGGCTATCTATGTATAAAAAAAAAAAAAAAAAAAAAAAAAAAAGCTAAAATTTATGATGTTTTGGAAGATGTTGAAATTTCTAAATTTTTGAAGTAGAAAAAGATGAAATCCACAGGTGAAAATTTGGCAACAAAGGCAAGTAATAAAAAGGATTACACAGCTTCAAAAAGATGGCACAGTAAAAGATAGGTCAGCATGTAAGCAGGTACTTAAAACGTGAGTAAGGAGAGGATGGTGATAACATGGAACCCAAATGTAAGTAACTATTGAGATAGTGATGATGTGATAGCCTCATCACCAACTCTGTTTCTGTTTATGCATTGGACTCTAGTAATAGTTTTATTAGAGTTATTAGGCTCAAAGATGATGGAGCTTGAGGTGGACTGTCATTTCATTCATGAAAAGATCAAAATGGGATTGGTTTCTGCACCTTAGGATGTTTTTACTTGGACTGTAATTTGCTGGTCTGTCTGGTCTGGTCTGATCTGGTCTGGTCTGCTCTGAACTGGTCTGGTCTGGTCTGGTAAGGTCTGGTTTCTTTGTATTTTTATAACTATCCAAGTCTGGTCTGGTCTGGTCTGGTCTGAACTGGTCTGGTCTGGTCTGGTCTGGACTGGTCTGGTCTGGTCTGGGGCAAATTACAGTCCAAGTAAAAACATCCTTACACCCAGACTGGAGATCAAATAGCAAATATTATAAACAAAAGGGATCAAATGCCCAACTTAAGGGGGTGTTAACCCTAGTGCACCAATCCCATTAGTGTAAATATTTCTTAATGTACCATCACCAAGGATTGGCTATACTTTACGTGTGTACAAAGTACAAACATATGAAATACGAAGTATATGATATGTTATACTTTATTATAAGGTCAAATTCACTACATTAAGAGAATAAACTAAAACCATATGACCCCATTAACAACACTGTATACTGAGGTCTGAATATTAAGATGACCTATAGTCACTTGTTTTAATGGATCCCAAATCTAACATGAACCCGCTTATATGCGTTTGAGCCAACGGGTGGGAGACATAACCATATAAATACAGAGAATGAACAATCTACCTGAGCCTTAAAAAAATCGACCATTGATTTTTGTTTCAAACCATATTTAATAATCACTATACCATAGATATTTTGATATAAAGTACAATATAGAACAATATGCATTTCAACTCAAATGTTTAAAATTTTAGACAAGTTTGTTTGTTTGAGACTTTGAGTATAAACAAACAAAGGAAATAACAATAAAAATCTCTATGTCATCTGCCCCTCCTAGGCCCCTGTCTGATGCCTATGTAACACTTATAATCACATTAGAAGCATCCAAAATACTAACCTTTTTTCACTAATGATAATGAAATAAATACTAACAGTCTAACACTTTTTATAGGGGTGCTCCAAAATAGAAGCCGAAATTATAATTTCACGGCTTACAGTGGTCATCAGCATAGTGGAGCATCTCTGCATCTATGGTAAAGGCATGCAATTTAGACTTCAGGGTGTCTACGGTATGACATTGCTAATAAGGATATGTTACAATTTAGACTTCAGGGTGTCTACGGTATGACATTGCTAATAAGGACATGTTGAATTTAAAAATTAAAATATCAGCAGAAGATTGGAAGATTTGATTTGAATTAAAAAAAATGAACTTGGGTCTACGGAGAGATGTGTTAGGGCCTGTTACTAACAGAGATATTTTCCAGTTTTCCAGAAAACTGGAAAACTGGAAAACAGAAAACAAGAAAAAAATGGCAGTGGGGTGGGGTCGAGGTAGGGGGCATGTGGTAAGGGGTAAGGTAGGGATAAGTGGTAATATACGAGGGGTGGGGGTAGGGTGGGTCCAAATTGCTGGAAAACTGGAGAAAGGAAAAAAGAAAAACGCGTTTACCCAATCGTTTTCCAAAACGAAAAAAATGAGACATGTCTCTCTTTTCCTTAATGATTTGGAGAAGTGACTTTTACTAGTTTTCCAAATTTGGAAAACGCAGATGCTACAGTGCCTCTGCAATGAATTTGCATACTTACACCTAGTGGCGGGTGCGGTCCCGCTCCGATGTCGATTCCATTCCGGTACCTCCATCCTCGTACCTTACCCCTTACCTCTACCCTACCCAACCCCGCGGACCCATTTTTCCATATAATGGCCTTACCCCACCCCCTACCACATGCCCCTACCTCGGCCCCACCCCGATCCACCCTACCCTACCGCCATCCCCTACCACCTCGACCCCACCCCGACCCACCCTACCCCCACCCCTCGTATATTACCAATTATCCCTACCTTACCCCTTACCACATGCCCCCTACCTCGACCCCACCCCCCTGCCATCTTACCCCCACCCTTGTACCGTCATCCTACCCCCACCCTTACGCCATCCTACCCCCACCACCATCCTACCCCCCACCCTTCCCTACCTCGGCCCCACCCTGATCCAGGGCCCACCCTACCACCATCCTATCCCAACTCCCTACCTTACCCTAACCCTAACCCTAACCCCAACCCTACCCACTACCCCCACCCCTATCGCCATCCCACCCCCCACCCTACCCTTCCCTACCTCAGCCCCACCAAGGTCTCGACCCCACCCTACCGCCATCCTATCCCAACTCCCTACCCTATCCCTACCTTACCCCTACCCTACCCACTACCCCCACCCTTACCCTTAACCAGGACCCTAACCCACCCACTACCCCCACCCAACCCCCTGCCTCTAGAACTTACCACCCCACCCTGACCATACCCCTTACCCCACCCCCACCCATAACTTCCCTACCCCGACCCCTACAATTAGGTATGGGTGGGTATGAAGGGTTGTGGGGGAGTATGGGTAGAGTGTAAGATCGTGGTAAGGGTAGGGGTAGGGGTCAAGGGTGTGGAATTGGAGAACTGTGTGAAAAAATTGATGAACATGTTTTCAGATTTGAAAATGGAAAACTAAAAAAATAGAAACAGAAAATTGGAGATAGAAAAACTGAAAAATAAAAAACAGAAAATTGGAGAACGAAAAACAGAAGTAGAAAATAGGAAAATATCTCTGTTAGTAAACAGGCCCTTAGTGTTTACTTTCTATACCCATAAAGACTTGGAGGTGGTACATAGCTCTAGAGGTAAAGGGGGTGGGGAAAGTAAAAGAAGTGCTTGCTAGGAATTAGGAAACGCCAACTGAACATATTAACTATCAATAAAGGCACAGAATATAAGGATGATAGCTTACCACTAAAAACCCGAAAAGCATCTGGCAGTGGCCTCTGCTGAGTGGCATAAAATATCTCACTCTCCTCCACAAGGTAAAGACCGGGATCAACTATTATTGGTTTCAACTTCTGTGATCTAAAAATGCACAGCACATAAACAATTTTGAACTCATTTAAACATTATAATGAGCACTAAAAATGCTTGAGTTTTTCATTCAGCCATTAATGTTGTAATGGCTGTACTTTTGAAGATAAAAGATGAAAAGAGAATTAGCATACTCTCTCCATCCAATATAGCTTGTGTGATTGATGAAATTGAGATCTTTGGGTAGGTATGACAAAATGTGAAGAAGATCTGAAAGTCAAAGGGTGTGATGAATAAGGATGAGACCAGTGCACTATATATGAAAAGTAAAACATAAAATAACGCATTAACTATGCAATTTGTTAAACTACTTGATCACATTGCACTCATACACTAGCAAAGGCTTCACATTTATAAGGTCAACAAATTCTCCCTATACACTTGCTAAATAAGTTTGCTCCTGCTGTTAAATTAACTAGAGTTCAGCAACTAGTCTATACATTTCCAAAGCATGAATACAAATGTATGGTAGTTATAAGCTAAAAAAACAAAACTTGATTAAAATCTGAAAGTCAAAGAGAACAGAACAGTAATTAACTCTATAAATCAACCAATTTGACAATTTGTCCATAGTATTCCGAAGCACTAGAAACTAATGAAATGTAAATGGGATAAATCGAATGGTATACCATCCTGAGTAACGAGTGGGTAATCAGAACTAGAGAGATTGATGAACCAATCCCAGCTTTTCAAAAGGCGGAGAAGAATCGATGCACCATGGAGCATTGAAGATATGGAGGAGGAGCCTTTAGAGTACACCATATCGGCGTTGCCCATGACATAAACATTACGGACAGTCCTGAAGAGTGGCACCGCGTTGATAGAAACGGCCAAGTAGTCACGGTCGGCCTGGGGAGCGGAGCGGTCGAGGTGCAGGAGATAGTGATTGCGGGGGTGGTAGACGGCATAGAGGAGGCGGAGGAGGCGACCAGAGTCGCCGGCGGATCCGGAAATGTAGTAGGCGATGGACGGGGGGCTAGGAGCAGGGGAAGATTGGTCTCCGGGAATGAGAACGCGGTGGCGGGTTGGATGGTGGTCAGGGAAGAGCTGTGGGTCAGAGGGGTTGAGCGGCGGCCTGGACGGGAGAGTAAGCAGGGAGACGATGAGAAGGAGGGAGACAAAAAATGTAGCCGCGAAGATGAACGGCGTGGAGAGTAGCCTGGCGGTGGCGGTGTTAGCAGAGGTGGCGGTGGAATACGGTTGTGTTTGGTTATACATTTGGTTTGGTTTGGTTTGCCAGAAGGGGCTGAGAGTTTGATGCTTTACCAGTTGGATCTAGCTCCTCTGCCTTACTTAGGCAGCCAAGGAGGGTGCTTGGCCATTTTAAACCATCAGATCAAAATATCAATGGCTTAAAAAGAGTGGGTCCATTTTTGGCACAAATCTCTAGGGCTGAGTTTTAATCCCTGCCCTTTGTTTTAGTAAGGTACTCTGCCTTATGGCAGAGGATCTCTATCCTTACCAGTTGGCTGGATTTTTTGCTACTTGAACTGGCCCCGCTGACTAGTGTTTGAGAATTTGATGCTTTACCAGTTGGTTGGGTTTGCTAATTGTTGTGGTGTTTTACCCTGCAATTAGTTTAAAATTTGAGAAGTTATATTTTATATCCACTACTTCATCCCTAAATTAACTTCCAAGGTAATTGTTAGCTGGTTGTCAATCGTAGATTCAATTTGAAATTTTAATTAGGGACGGAGGAAGTATATTTATGGTGAGATTTTTCCTTACATATTTGGAGGGATTAAAAAACATATTTAAACCAAAAATTAATGGGCCCTGGTTCATTTAGAGGAATTGTTTACAATTTTAAAGCTAATAGCTTACCATTAGGGCATTGTTTTCCATTTTACTTATTAAAGCTAACTAAACCAAATGACCTACTAGTTTGATGAAGAGAATTACTAGATTTAACATTTTTAATAATAAATGAAAAAAGTTGTAGCTAATCATTGAAGTATATTTTAATTTTAATACAAATGTGTATGTGTCTAGTCAAGCCCGAAAGATAGGAGCCGGAGATGATCTAAGTCTCTTTCTAATTTCCTATTTTATTTGCATGTTTTTGTACACATTTCACCCACTTTTGTGTTTGTATAGAGATACAGGGGCGGACGTACGTATTATTTAGGGTAAGCATAGGCTTCACCTCAATAATACTTCTTAGCCTAAATGGCAGTAATAGTGTTGTTAAAATTTTATTATGCTTCACGTTAGGGGTTCGAAACCTGGTTAGGCTACATCCTCTTTATTGAACTTTTGAAGTGATTCACGTCCAAGTTCGCCCCATGTTTATAAAAGAAACAATTTCACTCCTAATTAATGCTGTTTTATAATCAAAGGTTTATTTTTACCAAAAAAATTAAAGGTTTATTGTTATTAAAGACTAACTTCCTCTTAAAGATTATACAAAGTAGTTATTACGGAGTATTAATTTACTATAACTTGTTATTAATTATTGTTGTTAACTTGTTATTAAAGATTATACATACTAGTAGTAGTTATTACGAAGTATTAATTTACTATAACTTGTTATTATTGTTGTTAAAGATGTTTTTACTTGGATTGTAATTTTCTGATCTAGTCTGGTCTGGTTTCTTTGTTTTTTTTATAATTATCCAAGTTTAGTCTGGTCTGATCCGATCTGATCTGGGACAAATTATAGTCCAAGTAAAAACATCATTAATATAAATGTAAATGCAAGTTGTATTATGTAATACTACGTACTTCAATTTGGTATAAATCACGAAGTGTAGTTTTACTGCTTTTTCCCTTCCAAAATGATTAATTTGCAAAGTCAATTTTTTGCCATATCTCAATTTCAGCTATGTGACTTTGGGTATGTTTGGGTAGCAGCGGATTTACCTCCAAACTGCCGTTTTTGTCAAAGCAAAACGCTACATTTTGTAGCGGATTGGTACCTTTATGGAACTTCCAATTTAACTATCTGCACATATAATTTGAAAAATCACAAATTTCAATCCATTTGGGATGGTGGAAGTAGATACATATACTTATTTTTTACCCTTGTTATTGTAATACTAAATTCATACAGAGTATAATACGGAGTATATTACTGGGTATTATTATGTATTCCGTATGTGCATACACTGACCTCCGATGCCTAGATCCGTCACTGTAGAGATATCTCTTAAATTTCTATTACGTACATTTTTACATTAATAGTGTGCGTACACCTAGTACGGAGAACAATTTTCCCTTTTTTTTTTGAAAAAAGATGTCTTTACAGAACTCCTTCACAAATTGTATACATATATATTATAATATAATATATTATAAAAGCCAAACACTCTCTCATTCCCTCCCTCCATTCTCTCTTCTCTTTCTCTCCCTTCTGTCTTCCCTCTCTACCCAGCCCCTTCGGTTAAGTAAAAAAATGGATGATCTCATCTTCTTCATCCTCATCTTCCCTTTTTCATCCTCTTCTTCTCTACATTTTATATCCAACTTTTTCCTTTACTTGAACAAAATCAGCTTATTCACCTTTTCTTCATCTATTTTTATTATATTTTCAATTTTTTCAAAGCACATGCAAATTTGAATTTGGGAAATTGATTTTTTTGTTCACTCATACATTTAAAATTGATCACACATACAATTAAAGTAGATCACACGGACAACTACTGTCTGCGAGCTACACAACTATTGCCCGTGTGATAAATATTATTTGTGCACAAAGACAAATCATTGTCTGCAATGTAAATATTGTTTGTGCACACAGACACTGTACATATATACATTGATTTGCACACTAGTGTCAGTGTCAGACGACTGTCAGTGTACATTTTTAACATGAAAAGTAATATTTGTGGACACAATCAACTCTTTTTTGTGCTCACACGAAACTCCCTACCAATGGTTTGTGACCGACATTTTTGTGCAAGGTGTGTACAATTTGCGTACCACGAGCAGGGGTGGACCGTAATAGAGACCCAGGGGAACTATTCCCCCCCCCCCCCCATTTTTTGTTTCATTATACATATGAGAAAAATAAAATTGGCCCTCAAAAAAATACCTCGGTCCCCTCAAAATACAAGTAAATGAAATATTTGCTTTCCCAAATTTTAATTAAATAATTACTAAGGGTGAAAGATGAAAGAAATAAAAATATAAATTAAAATTTATAAAGTGATTCATAGTCTATAAGAATTTATTTACTATGAACGATTATTGTGTATTCTTTTAAATAAAAATCTTATTATTTCAGAGCAAGTTCAATTCATATATATAGAAATTCAAAGTGGCATGTGTCTAATAATATATTGTCTCTTCTTCAATTTTTTTGTCTACTGTGTACAATTTTAACGATTCATTTTGTATACTACAGGTAGTGTATAAATAAAAAAGATTATAATAATGAACTTGTGCAATTATATACTTCATATATATTTTGTTGTAACCACGGTGAGGGCGTGTCCATTGTGGAGGCAATGGGGACTTTTTCCACCCTACCTCAACCATACTCCCTATATATGACCTAAAATTTTACAGGAAGTTGTTCAAAACATGGATTAAACATAAGAAAAATTCTAAGATATGATTAAGAGTGTTTTCTCCCTATAAATCATGTTAAAAGAATAATATATAGGATTAAAAAATTACTGATTTATTTTATGTTTAACATCTATTTAGGTTATTTTCTCAAATTTTATCTACAATTACATCTTTGTACATATAAATTGATCTTGGATCTGCCTTTGACCATATCATTTTTGTTTTTCTTTTCTCTTTCTTAAACGAATCTTGTCGCATGTAGGGGTGGTTCGGTACGGTATACCGAAAAATTTTCTCTCATACCTTTGTCATACCAAAACTTCCGGTATACAAGATTTATATACCGTTACCTTACCGAAGTTTCGGTATACTGCATTTTGGTATGCCGAAATTTCGGTTCGGTAACGGTACGGTATCGGTAAATTATCATGCATGCCCTCCCATACAACAAATTACCATATACTAACAAAATATACCAAATCGATGTGTTACTAGCGACATATTTAATCCATTATTAAAATGTTACAAAATACAATTAATAATCTATTGATGTCAAATTTAATATTGAACAATAATTATTATTAGTATATTTAAGCAGTTCAACATGTCACGCATTAAAAATAACATTCTCCTAAAATAACTTGAACAATATAAATATAGTTAAATGAATAGTGAGCTCTAAAAAAATTAATAAAATTATTAAAAAAACGTGGATATAAAATCATTTATCCCTAATATGATATAGTGTATTTAGTCATTTTTGTAATTTTTTAAAAAATATTTGAATAAGACTTTTGGACATAGTTGTGTATCACACATCAGCTACTCGGCGGCACAACCATTGCGACTTGCAAGCTTATGGAACAAGATGGTCTGGTTTAGACATTGGTATATTACTCATTAGTTATTAAGGTTAGTTTGTTTGAATGTAATTGATGGAGTATATGGCCCAAGGACCCCCAGCCCACAGACTCTTACTTCTCCTGCACAGGCCCAATGAGCCCAATACACACCCAGGGCCCAAATACAGCTGCCCAAGTGTCGGGAAGACCACAATACACATATGGGTGCCTTCGGCCTCCTTGTCCGAGAGCTCCAAAACTCACAGGACGGCCAGTTTCGAGCATACGAAGCTGCTGGGAGAAAATGACAGAAATCAGTAGCCTTCGGCATTTTCGTGCCCTCGGCATAAGGGAAACCTTCGGCTGTACAAGCGCCTTCGGCTACACAGAGCCCTCGGCTGTGGGGAGAGCCTTCGGCCAACAGCTCAATCATCAAAGATTCCCTTTGGAGACAAGCGACCACCGCATTTAATGCGACGTCACATCCACCCACCGCATTCAATGCGGTGCACATGCGAATGTCAGTGCCACCCGATTGAGGTGACCCCTCGTCCGTTAGATTACTGACACGTGTACTCTCATCACATTTATTGCTGCTATAAATAACACCCTCTTTTCCCATTGTAAAGGACCAGAACATCTCGAGTTCATTAATATAATCGCCTCTCCCTCTCTCTTACTTGTTTGCTCTGACTTCTCTCTAGGTTATTCTCATAATAACCCCTCGGATAAGCTACCCCCGCGTATGTTGTCCATCATTTGGTGCTCTCATTGAGAGGCCTGAACAATCAAGTGAGAAACCCTCCCCTTCACCAAACACAAAAACACCTACCAAAATGGGAAGAACTCGTGGTCAGTCCAAAACCCTCGAGGAGAACCACGTAGCCCCCGGCGAAACCAACGGGGCTGAGGCCTCCAACAAGCTCTTGGTACCCGAAGGCGGTACCATCCTCGAAT